GCCTTGTGCATGCGAGGCAGGTTCTCTACTAACTGAACTATATCCCCAGCCCCTAGACTTAATTTTTGAATTATGACTGTGGCTGGTGTTGTTAGAAAGGTGTCTTGATGGGGAAAGATTTACAACTTTCTATTAGGTGTCTGACAGGTGAGGCTAGCTCTCCTTCGTGTAAATCAGAGTGACTGCTAAATAAAATTCACAAATAAGTCCCTAAACTTATTTACCTTGTACGTCCTTTCCTGGCCTGCCAGCAAAAAGTACAATGTGTTAGTCCTTAATGCCATTTACAGAACAAAGTGAGGGACAAAAATAGTGTCAGATTTTGCTTGCCTCTGTGTACTCAAGCTTTGAAGAGGGACAGGGCAATACAATTACATAGTAAAAAGACCAGAAGTCACAGAGGGAAAGCAAAGAAAAAGAGTTTAATTAATCTGCAAACTAATTAACTAGGCCCTGCCGAAGTACATTGTAGCAGGCAAAATGGAGAAAATAGCAGCCCAATAACACTAAGGCCAATAAGTGCTTCTCGGGTTTTAAATAATCAATCTTTTGCTCTAAAATTTCTTTCTTTCTTCCTCTATTTCTTTCTTTCCCTATTACTTATTTATTTATTTACTCACTCACTTACTTACTGGATCTTAGCAGGAGATTGCAGGAGATGAGTACCTGCTGTGTTAGATTCATTTTTCTCCTCTGTRTTACAGACAGTATAACAAACTGCGAAACCTCCTGAAGGATGCGCGTCACGATTGCATTCTCTTTGCTAATGAATTCCAGCAGCACTGCTATCTCCCTCGGGAAAGAGGAGAATCCATGGAAAAATGGCAGACCAGGTGTGGCAGCGAGTCATCTTTCATTTCCTCATCATTGACTATTTGCAGGTTGATCTAAATAGTATGCCAGAATAAACCAACRATTATCCAGCAGCCATGATTAATACTCAAATGCTTAATGCATCAGTATAACAGATAAGTCATTTGAATATGTAATTGTTAAATTTTTAAAATTGTTATTAGGGGAGCCAGTGTGGTGGTGTGCACCTGTGATCCTAGTGACTTTGCTGGCTGAGGCAGGTCACAAGATATCCAGGGCAGCCTGAGCAATTTAGAGAGACCTTGTCTCCAAATAAGAAAAAAAAAAGAAAGAAAGAAAAAAAGAAATGACTACAGCTGGGGGTGTAGTTCAGTGTCAAAGCACTTGCCTACGGTTTGCAAGATCCTGGATTTGATTCCCAGGACCTTGAAAAAAAAATTGTAATTAAGGAGAACGTAGGTGGACTGGGGATATAGCTCAGTTGGTAGAGTGCTTGCCTTGCATTCACAAGGCCCTGGGTTCAATCCCCAGCACCCCCCACAAAAAAAAAAAAAAAAAAAAGGTCCCCAGGGTAAGTTTGCCTCTGACCCTAAGAGCTAGCAGGATCCTTCCAGTGATCTAGAAGTTGTAACTTCACTGCCCGTGTGTCTGTGTGGGGGGAAGGAGTATTGCTTTTAAGCTAATGAGGTCAAATGCTCAATTTAATATCCTTGACYAGTCTTGTTAGACTGAAGCTGTTTTAGGAAATACAATGTCTTAGTTAAGATCTACCTGAAAACAGCCTTAGGTAAGCAGTTGGGTGTGGGGTATTTATGGGGGCGATTCCCAAAACAGGAGTGAGGAAGTGGGGGCAGAAAGAGGGGTGAAGGGTTGGGTTGGGGCTATAGCTCAGTTGGTAGAGTGCGTGCCTCACATGCCAAGGCCCTGGGTTCAATCCCCAGCACCACAACAACAACAACAAAAAGAGGGATGAAGGGAAAGAATAAAGGATGTGACACTGTTGTAGGAAATGAAGGCTTGGTCAGTCTTGTTGGGGAACCTCTGAGAAGCCCTATAGAATGTACCTTTGAAGGCACCCCAAAGGGTAGGGCTAGGGATTTAGTTAGTACCCCGCTCCTTTAATTGAGAGATTTTCCCCAGGGCTGTAAACTCCATTCAATGACTCCATGAGGAGTGACAGAACTGCTTCCCAGAGCTGCATCCAAATCAGAAATTGGGTCCAGGGTACAGGTTGTAGGCACCAGTAGCCTCTGCGACACTTCTTTATATAGGACAAAGGGACTGTAAGCTTTAAAATGTCTTACCTATAGAAAACATTTAAGTTATCTTTTTCCTTGTGATTATTTATCTGATAGAGCCATTAAATATTTCAAGTCTCCAAAGCAAAATAATTAACGATACATATAGAATTTGGGGGCAGGGGGAGGGGTACTGGGAATTGAACTCAGGGCACTCAACCACTAAGCCACATCCCCAGCCCTATTTTATATTTTATTTAGAGACAGGGTCTCACTGAATTACTTAGTGCCTAGCTTTTGCTGAGTCTGGCTTTGAACTCGAGATCCTCCTGCCTCAGCCTCCTGAGCAGCTGAGATTACAGGTATGCACCACCGCACCTGGCTTAGAATTTTTACTTATAGTCTCCAAGTTCCCACTGGGTTCAATAAAAGAAAAAAGCAAATCTTTCTCCAGATTGAGTCACATAGAAGCACTC